ACACATGCAAGCACACACATATACTCACACACATGCAAGCACACACACATACTCACACACATGCATGCACACACGAAGCACAATCTTATTTCTTATTAAAAACAGTATGTCCTGGGTCGCATCCAGCACGTCACCATTTTGAACTGCCTGGATGTAAGCGGAGGGCATTTACTGACTCTAGGAACTAAATGATGAAAATGGGGCAGAGTGCTTTGGGACAGGCCAGTGACCTCCTGTGAGCTGCTTTCTTCCTCAGCTTGCTTCCTGGGAATGTGCCTCTAGGACAGAGCTTCAGCTCGGAGGAAGCCCAGTGCCTCTGAAGCCAGCTTCACCTACTGGTGCCAGCTAACTCACCTGGGTAAAAGAATGGGGTTCCCGTCCACAGGCCCTTCACATCCACCACCGGGTAGAGGATGAGGAGGATGAAGAAGGCGAAGCAGCTCAGCGTGGTGACATATGAGATGGACCTATGGGAAGACGAGCGAGGGAGGGCTGTCACACTCCCGGGAACGCCCAGTCTCAACATGAGGGACAACAGGAACACGACACCCTCTGCCATGCTTACCAGAGATTTTTGTTTATTGGAATAAAGCCTTCATTTGCAGACATTTTTGTCAAAGCAATAGAAATAAGTCCCTATGAAAAAAAAAAAAAGATGATAAAGATTTATATCTTTACAGTCTCGAAACACAACATGTTTCCTTTCACTGGAAACCTGTTTTAAGATGTGTACCTAATACATTATTCAAAACCATTTTCCAGAGTCCCCTGAGTTAGAGACGGTAAGTGATGAGTCACAGTGACTCCTAAGGATGACTCTGAAAGGCCAGGGAGAATGGACAGGCAGGTGCACACAAGCATGTTCTTAACGGGATGCTCCTGCTTTTATAACTATCGATTGCCTGGCTGTTTCCATTTTTGTTTTCTCTCGTTTTTGAAACTGCGTCTCACGCATCCCAGGCTGGCCTCAAGTAGCCGAGGGTGCCTGGATCCCCTTGCTTCTGCCTTCTCATTGCCGACACGTGCCACCACACACCAGTCTTCCTGCGTGTTGGGAATAGGACCCAGAGCCTCTCCTCTCTCTCTCTCCCTCTCTCTCTCTCTCTCTCTCTCTCTCTCTCTCTCTCTCTCTCTCTC